GTGTGTGTGTGTGTGTGTGTGTGTGTGTGTGTGTGTGTGTGTGTGTTTTCAGCTGCACGTCGCAGCGGCAAACGGTTTCTCAGAGGCTGCAGAGATGCTGTTAGAGGGCGGAGCCAGAACAGAGATGAGGGATTCTGACGGGTGGATGCCGTTACACGCTGCTGCATGCTGGGGACAGGTACTCACACACACACACACACACACACACACACACACATGCACACAACACAAACTCACACACACACACACACACAAACTCACACACACACACACACACAAACTCACACACACACACACACACAAACTCACACACACACACACACACAAACTCACACACACACACACACACAAACTCACACACACACACACACACAAACTCTCTCACACACACAAACAGTAATATTGTGAAATATTATTGCAATAGAAAATTATTTTAAGTTGGAATAATATTTCACAATATTTATGTTTTTACTGTATTTTTTATTTAAAAATGCACACACACAAACACACAGCATTAGTGAGCAGAAGAGACTTCATTCAAAAACAGTATTTTATATATGTTATGGCTGAGAACCATTAATTGGCTTATAAATATTATAATTATAAATTATTTTATATTTGATGCATTTAATAAAAAACTTTTAAATCATTAAAACTGAAATCAGTAGTTATGTCGTAAGTGAAGTGAGGCATCACAACATCGTAATGTTCCGTATGAAAGATGGATATTAATTTTGAAATCTGCTACAGACAGAAGAAGTGTCTTTAACTTTGCTCTTAAAGAGTTAAATGTTTACTGTAATCCATCAGGTTAATGCTACTGTACTGTGCATCACCGCAGCTTGAACGAGCAGCACATTTATTACATTTACATTTATTACATTTAACAGATGCTTTTATCCAAAGCCACTTACAAATGAGACTATAAAGAGATCATAAAAATGTAATAATTCATCAGTAATGAGCATCCACCAGCTATTAAAATATCATATACATACAATCATACTTAATGTTTTTATATTTTCAGATTTCATTTTAATTTTAGATTAGAAGTGTTATGTGCCTTTGCTTCATTTTTGTTTTTTTTATCACTATTTAAGTTTAAAATATTATTATTTACAGTTAGTAATTTTAGTGCTTCAACAGTTAGTTGCCAAGACAGCATTTCTAATTTTTCATCTAATGTTTATATTTTATTTAAGCTATATTTCAATTAACAAGAATATATTTTAGTATAATAATAATCTTGGCATCCACAGATAAATATCAAAAGCCAGATTCAGTGTAAGTGATGTGGTGATGATAGACTCATTATAACTCATAATTCTCTACTAATAATGTTAATGAATGATAAAAACTAATGAATCTCCTCCCACAGGTGCATGTGGCCGAGCTTCTGGTTTCTCATGGTGCCGATCTAAACGCCAAGACGTACTTGGAGGAGACGCCTATAGGTACAAACCCATCATCACAGAAAGAGCCTGACGAGACTCTGTTCATGACAGACTGAGATCAGTGTATGCACGGACGCATTGGTTTGAGTAGATAAGACACAGACTCAGATCAGGAGAACGGCAGTGAAACACCCATCCGGCAGAATCAGACATGAGATCTGTTCCTCATACACAGCAGACTGGGCTGACAATATCCCATGATTCATAGCGCCCATTCCTTTTTTTTTTAATAGGACAAATTCATGAATAAATCTCAGTAAACGGGAGCATTAATCGTGTGTGTGTGTGTGTGTGTGTCCAGATCTGTGTGAGGATGAGGAGTTGAGGAATCATCTGCTGGAGTTGAAGCACAAACATGACATCATCATGAAATCACAGCTGAAGCACAAGACGTCACTGTGCCGCCGGACCAGCAGCACCGGCAGCCGCGGGTACAACACACACACACACACTCACACGCACACTCACACGCTCACACACGCACACTCACACGCTCACACACTCACACGCACACTCACACACACTCACTCACTCACACGCGCACTCACACGCACACTCGCACGCTCACGCGCACACGCGCGCGCTCTCGCACGCACACTCGCACGCACACTCGCACGCTCACTATCACTCTCACACGCACACTCGCACACTCGCTCGCACACT